CTTCACCCCAAATGATCAGACGCTTGAGCCCAGTCTCCCTCATTTTTGGATGTTGACAAAACTGATCTAATCTCCCACCCCCTGGGGCACAAATGAAAATCTAAACCCAAATTTGATCCCTCACCCATGTCCCATGTTTTCCCAGGGTGGTGGGAGTTTCCAGTGACAAGTGCATATTAAAGAAATATTTTCATTTACTGCAGTATATACTTGACTGAAATGTTAAATTGTTCAATTTGCCAACATTTGCTAAAACTTTCAACTACATGACCACACCTCTTTGTGTCTTGTAGGTGCAAGTGTTCTTTTTGCTCCCTGAACCATGTCGTGAACATGGAAGAATGCCGTTGCTGTACTGAAATGGAAGAATTCATGCAAAAAGTAAGCAGCTATTCCCCAGACAATTCAGAACAGGGTAATTGTGTTACAGAACACTCTGGTTTTGACGAAGTGTGTTTAAAGCAATGGGTACTTGAGGTTGCGGGAATTAGTTTGAAAAATAAAAATTGAAAGCGATACACAACACTTCTTAATCAAGGAAGGACAAGCAAGTATGAGTTTTGTAGAGCTGTATCATATAGGCAATTTATTCGTTTTGTTTATGGTTATAGATAAGATAAGATAAGATAAAGATTTATTAGCCACCAATACCATTTACAATATTTCAGATTTCTAATATACTGCTACTGTTTATATAATGGTAATTTATGTTGTTATATTTACAGTGGTTATATTAGTGGCAAGGAGTTATCCAGAAACCATAAGGCTTATAAATTGGATATCTCCTTAAAGCTTTTCAAAGTATATATATCAAAAGTATTTTGTTAAAAACAATTGCGACAGCTAGTGAACGCAGTTATATGGCTTAACATTGAAGTAAGTATTTTCGTATTCTATTCCTGAAGCAATTTAACGTCCCTGCATTCTTAACGGTGTCAGGGAGCGAATTCCACAGTTTTGGACCTCGTGAAAGCATAGTAAATTGTTTTATATTAGTTCTACATGCATGTGAACGATATGTGTCAGCGTTTCTAGTATTATAATTATGAAACTGGTTGCTGGTGCTAAATAAGTTAGGAAAGGGGGGTGGAAGTAATTTGTTATGGTAGGAATACATGAATATACCTGTACAAAAGGAATTAATCCTATTGATATCAAGTATTTTCAATTTTTTAAAAAGCGGAGCAGTATGAGACAAAAAGCTCGAACTAGTCAATAATCTAACTATTCGCTTTTGTAGAATTTGTAACCGTTTTAAGTTAGAAACATATGTAGACGACCATATTGTGTGGCAGTAGATAAGATATGGATAGATTAAGGTATAATATAACGACAATTTAGTACTTTTCGACAAGTTGAAACGAGCTCTGTATATTACACCGATAGACTTCGAAACTTTTTTGCATACGTAATTTATATGAGGTTTCCATGAGAGATTTTCATCTAAAAGGACCCCAAGAAATTTGATCTGTTTCTTTTGTGTGATTAATCTGTCATCAAGAAGAAGGAGAATTTCGTACGTGGATTTCTTTTGGGTTGGTTGGAAAATGATGTAGTTGGTTTTATCAATATTGACAGAGAGTTTGTTAGCTTTCATCCATGTACTAATATTTAGTAATGCCTCATTTAATACTGTAGCTAATACTATGGGATCGGAGCTAGCATAACAAATGCTGGTGTCATCTGCAAATAATAGTGGTTTGACTAAATGTGAGGCGTTTGGAAGATCATTAATATAAAGGATGAAAAAGAGTGGGCCCAATATTGACCCTTGGGGTACACCACATTGTATGGCTATTCGAGCAGAAGAAAATTTGTTATATTGAACAAATTGTGTTCGGTTATTGAAATAGCTCTTTGCCCAATTTAATGCCACTCCACGAATCCCATACCTCTCAAGCTTAGAAAATAGTATATCATGGTTTAAGGTATCAAATGCTTTAGACAGATCTAAGAAAACACTTGCTGTTATTTCTTTTTGATCAATAGCAGTTGCAATTTTATTTATCAAGTGAGTAAGAGCAAGATTGGTTGAGTGGTTAGTTCGAAAACCAAACTGGTGGCAGTAATAAATTTCAAGTTTATTAGTAAATTCTACCAAACGATTATACATGATTTTTGAAAAACTAGACAAAATTGAAATTGGTCTGTAATTTGTAAATATATCTACCTCACCAGCTTTATAAATAGGAATTATTTTAGCTACTTTTAACTTATCTGGGAATAACCCTGCCTCAAGTGAAGAATTAATTACCAGCATTAATGGTTCAGATATTAATTCAAACGATTTTTTTATGATATGTATAGGTAGGTTGTCGTAGCCAGGTGCTTTTCCATTTTTAAACGACATACATATCTCTCTCAGTTCATTAACAGTTGTAGGTTTAAGGAATATGGTTTCACTAATAGTAGGGCCTAAAAACTCATGAAATGAACGATTTGTTGGGGGAATCTTACGCGCAAGAGATGGGCCAATTTCAGAAAAATATTTACAAAAATCATTGGCAATTTTAGAGGGTTCATTGATAGTCATGTTATTTGATCGAAAAGATGACGGTAGTGAGGGCTTTTTACGTTTTAGGTTAGTGACTTCATTTATTAATTTCCATGTTGTTTTCAAATCACTTTTAGCTAATTCAATTTTTTTATCATAGTAAGTTTTCTTTGATATTCTAATTAGGTGATTCAATTTATTTTTGTATCTCTTATATTGAGAGTCACGTACAGGGGTAGGGTTTGCGAGATATTTTTTGTATAATTTATTCTTTTTTTTAACGGAAGTCAGCAAACCTTTAGTAATCCATGGTGATTTTGATTTCCTACAAGAATTCAATTTAGATATTTTTAAGGGAAAACAATCCTCAAAATGCCTATAATATTCTTCGGCAAAAACATCGTAAAGTCTATTTGGATCCTGCCCTATCAAGACCCGAGTCCATTCGACCTGTGATAATTTAGTTTGAAACTTGATAATATTTAAATCATTGTAATCCCGAGTATAATATGTGGTTTCATTGTTTGGTTTCTCAAATTTAGTACTAGATAATGCAAACACAGGTAGGTGGTCCGACAAGTCGTTCAGAATAAGTCCATTTACAATATTTCGTGTAAAACAATTCGTAAATATGTTATCAATTAGTGTTGCTGAATGAGAAGTTAGCCGCGTTGGCTTATTAATAAGAGGAATAAACATATGTGAAAATAATGAGTCTATAAATTCTTGTGTATACGCATGATGATCACAATGAAGTCCAAATTAAAATCTCCCATTATGTAGCATTGTTTGTTGTCTTTGGAAATAATAGAAAGGATTTTATTAAAGTCTTCAATAAATGAGACAAGGTTTTGGTTGGGTGGGCGGTAAACAGTTCCTGCAATAATGTTTTTCCCAAGAGGGTTTGAAATTTCAACAAACAGAGACTCAATTACTTCAGGATTAGAAATATTACAGTCTTGAATTAATTTGTACTGAAAATAATCACCTAGATAAAGACCTACACCACCGCCTGTTTTACCTCGGCGATGATTACTAATGAAGTTATAACCAGGCAGATTTACCATATTAAAAGTATCATCGTTTATCCAGGTTTCAGATACTCCAATTACAGAAAATGAGTCGAGCAAATTTGTGGTTAAAACTCTAAACCTATCAAAATTGCCAATGAGACCTCGACAATTTATATGCAAAAAAGACATTCCCGAATTACATGGTTTATCCGTTACAAGTTCATTAACTTCACTTTCAATCATGTACCTACTATTAGATGGCATTAGTTCGTTAAAGTTTAAATCTGGGTCAAGATTAGATATAAATGAGTTCTCTAAAGTAGAAGGCAGATATTCAATTGGATTGAATATTAAAGATTCTAAACGATCTAAGTCAAAATTTAATGGACCATGTTCAAACTCATAAAATACTGCATTAAAGGCGGTATCATCCAGGTGATTAAATGGCAGAGGTGACTCACTTTCAAACAAAGAATTGTTAACAGCCATTATTAAATATAATTATACTTATCTTCAAAAAGAAGATAGTTATGAACTTTGTTCTTGAGATAACAATTGAGCAAGATCCTCTCGTTTTGTTAGCTTGATAACAACATCACCCTCGGATTTGCGCAAACAAATGGCTTTATTTCTAACCCAGCAAAACTTGAAGTTATTCTCACGTTTGTATTTGTTCGCCTCAAACAAGAGTTCCTGTAGACGTGGGGGTAGATGTTCATAGATACTAAGATAATTAAGTTGCACTTCTGAGGAGAAACCAAGTTGTTGTGGTTGAACGTTGCTAGTTTTCTTTCTGAGAGCAAGAACCCTTTCCTTAGCCAAGCGACGGACGAATTTACAGATTATTGCACTCGGCCGATTTGATTGCCTTCTCGCAAGGACTCGATGTGAAATGTCTATGTCCTGTTCTGTAACTTCAGCTCCGATCGCGGCGAACAAATTCAAACACAATTTCGTTGTGTTTTCGGCTGATTCATTCTCACATTGCTGTGGCATGCCGACGATTTTCAGATTATATTGATAGCTATAGTCCTCCATTGGTTCAACGGAGGTCGTAATAGCTTCGCATTTTTTAGATATCATGCTAACTTGCTTTTTCATATCTTTGAGATCTTGAATCACGTTGTTTTTAAACACAATAATATCATCGTATTGTGCGCTTATGAATTCGATAGACTTAGTTTTATCGGCTGCCTCAGACCGATTAGTTGCATGGTTGACTTCTTGTCCGGTAAGGGAATCGGCCATGCTGTCTTTTTTCTTTGACACTTCGTTTGTAATTTTATCCAGCCTTTCTTCTAGTGCTGTGATCTCGCTTCTTAGTGCTTGGTTCTCTTTCCGAAGCTTAGCAGTTGCCATAAAAATAATATTAGGTAGTTGTATGATGTGAATAAGTAGTGAATTTATATATCTTAATATATAAAATTTTAGCGGAGCATAAAATACACGTCTGCCCACGAAGGCACTCTGATGCAGTTCCAACTGCAGTTTACACTGGATATTCTAAACGTTATCCTTTACCCTGCTGCTCCTATAATGCAATTCGAAAGAGGTTTACAGCAGAAACAAGTGGTGATGATTATCATGGTTATGAAACTGGTGATGATGATTAGAGAACACGCATGGTATGCACAGCTTATTTATTAAACTTTGCCAGTTTGAACTGAAGATGACTTGAAATGTCACTTTATCAATATATGCACAACCCTATCCTAATCCTAACTATAACCCACTAAACCCAGCACATATTAATTTATAATTACATAATGTATTGAGAAAGTGTCGAATTGCAACTTTTCTATGACGAGGTTGAGGAACATGTTCCCTTTTTATGACCCTTCATTGGATTTTTACACTTTCTACAAACTGGTTGCTTTCTTGTGGAAGAAGCTGATCCCTGTTGCCTTCCCAAAGATTGTAATTCACTTTCTAAAGTTGTAAATAGAAAAATAAGTTATTGACCAATAATTTGAAAGCAATAACACTGTTTACTACGAAAACATTCATTATTTTATACTTTACCAGTACATGTTGGCGGGCAAATAACTGTTTGTTTCTCCTGCCGTTCTTTGTACTTTCGTATGCTGACCTCTCTCTCTTCCTTGTCCAACATTGAGTGAAGTGGCTTCGGTATTTCTTTTTACAGCTCTATGTAAAGCTTCTTCAGGTCTTTCTTTGGAGTTTTGGTTAGATACTGGAATATTTCTGAAATGTATTCTAAAAAGTGTAAGAGTTGTTGAGTACACAATTATGAACATATTGATCACAACAATTACAGTAGGTTCGGATCACAACCATTTGGTTCAATCTTAATGCTGATTATTTACCGTAATTCTGCTCAGTTTTCACTTGTTTCACAGTTCCTTCCCCTTCCTTGAACTTGGGATAAGTAACCCTTAGTTTGACGTTACCCTCACCGTCTTTTTTATCTTCTCTTTTTAGATTGTAATTGAAGTGCAAGGCACTAAGAATCGTCCTGGAATTGAAAGAATTTACATTCTGTTTTTGTTTACAAATGGTTCAAATTCAGTTGGTAATAAATACATGTACAGTACAGTAGTACATAGTGATATGATCACTGCATTGCAAATCAAAACCAGTAACAATGTGTAATGATTTATTTATTTATTTATAAATAAATAAATATTAGTTTGGGACATGTATTATTTTACATTAAAGCCTCTTGTCCACTCATCGCAAGAGTCAACTCGCAAGCTCTCTGCGAGTGTTTTCATCCAATCAAAATGCTCGACAGTTTGTATTAATTAGATGCAAGCACTCGAAGCGAGCTTGCAAGTTGGTTTTGTGATGAGTGGAAAAGAGGCTTTACGCAGTAGGTGATTTTTGCCTATTTACCGGCTTAATAATCCAAAGTACGAGTATGCCAGCATCTTTGGTGCAAATTGGTTAATAACTGAATGATAACCTTCAAGTCCGCTAGTTTGACCAAGAGATGATGATTTCTTTATTGCCTTCACAATCCTTGGTTTTCTTAGGACCTTGTTTAACTTTTCATATTCAGGTGATCCTTTAAAAAATTAGAATGCCTGACAATTAATTACTGAGGAAAAACCTTGATACGAATAAAGAAGAGAGTGAAAGGAAAAGAAGGGCAGGGGAAAGGGCAAAGAAGAGAATGAAAGGAAAAGAAGGCCAGAGGAAAGGGAAATGAGGGGGGAGAGGAGAGGATAGGGAGAAAATTCATCTCATTCTCGTATGTTAGGCTAATTATTTTAATCTTCAGTTAAATTTTGAAATTACATGTAATTAATGTGGAGATGATTAGTTCATATTCAATATTCATGTAATCATGTTGGTAAATAAATAAAGAATGGGAAATTAACTAAGTGGGTGTAATGATATGGGGAAGAAAGTCAAAGCTGAAGAGAAGGGGGGGGGGGAATATAATCAAAGGTCATTGAAGAATATACACCACTGGGTCAGACACTTCTAATTAGTCAGACACTAATTAATAACTTCTAATTAATTTTTTAACCCTTTGCAATGCACCATGATGCACTCTACTTTATTATGTAGACTGTCTAATGCCAGAAAATTTCACTTGTCATGTCACTCAATGAGTTTATCACACCTTTGGTTAACCATGCGCGTGGATGGTCACTTTCAACTATGGGGCTGTGTGCACATTTATTAAAGATCTTGTTAGGTAAATTGGTATGCTCATTCACAACATGTGATAGAAAGGACTCGAACTTTGCATATTTTACATCTCCCTGGTGTTGCCTAGATGACGTAATTGACCAATGAAAATGACGTATGCAAGCTTTTCTCCATCTATTTATTTTCTCACATTCTTTTTCCTTTCCTGCTTTTACTACGGCTTTAGACAAACCTATAAAATATGTAAAACCTTTTGTGTGAACAAATTGTGTTTGTTCCATGTCTCTGTTCTATGTTAGTTACTATATGTTTTAATACACCTTACATTATTATGTTATGAATAATAACTTATAATTGTTATGAATACTTTCATGGTCTGGGAGCCTGAATCAAGACGAAAGGTGATTCGCTCACACATCTTATAATGAGACTCCCTGGCCAAGGAATTATTCAACAGCATTATTCTGGCTTCCCTGTATATATACAGTATCCTATTTACCTATAATTCCATACATGGATGGATCAAGTATGAAATTTGAAAATTGTATGGCAAAATACAAAATTTATATTGGCATTCTACTGACAATGACCAAGGGCGTGTACACCCAAACCCCACAGTAAATCCATCATCCGGAATTGTAATTTTCCAAAACATGAAAGATCTTAGGCTTACACTAAGCAAATAAGCACAGTTACAGATCATTCAATGCAACACTATATTAGTAACTAATAAAGTCTTACTTCTTGCAACATGCCAACGGTCATAGTAATGCTCAATTTTGCTTTTTTTTTTCATTTCCTTGCACAGTTTTGTAGATTCTTCCCTCATCCACTTGGCAATGCTGGCATGTCTGTCTGACACAAAAGTTGTTTTGATCATTCCTGTTGAAAGTAGGAAGGAAAAAGCCTTCTGATGGCCAAGGAATTCCATTGCCGTACTGTTTCCTGCCTGATTTGCCTAGATGGATATACTGTATGATCGATATGTATACATACTCATGATTATAAGGCCAGACATTTTTGCTCATGCTTCAGCATTATTGAGTTAACTAAACTATCCAGGCACCCTGTTTCTTTTTAATTAACTCATTCAAGCCGGGACAATGTGGCCCCTTAATTACTAATTCAAAAGAGAGACCACTTGTGTGTTGGTTTAAAACCGAACTATGAATTTGCCAAACTTATGCATACAAATATGGCAACAACCTTGTACCCAGGGTATTTTCTCGGGGAGCGAAATACCCTGGTATGGAGTGATGACAACATGTCACACTCAGATTTTGGGAGAATAGCACATTTTTTACCAGGAAAAAATGCTATTTTACCCGAAATCTGGGGGTGACGTCATCAGTCCAGACCAGGGTATTTCGCTTCCCGAGAAAATACCCTGGACAAATACTCTTTCCTTGACAAGTAAAATTGTTTGGCCTTATACAGTGTTAATTAAATAAAATTAGGTCTCACTTAGGTGGACTTCTATGTCTAATTAGCCAGATTGTAAAATATATGGAATGGTTACCTGTACCAATTCGATGTGAATAAGAAGACCAACTGTACAGGAAAAAATGGTATAGGTGCAGTACTTAGCTGAGTGGCCCATGCTATCATGGCGCCCATCCCCAGCTAAGATAACTTTTTTCCCTTGTAAACTTTCCAATATTTTGTTTTGGTACTTTCTCCTGAATCCAGTAATTGAAGGAATTAGTAGGTACCTCTGATGCTTATAAAATGTTCCTTTTTGGTAGGCCAGGATTCCCATGTTCTTAAAAATATTCAGAATCTTTGTAACTGAACCACCAGCTGTAAGGATAGCAAAGCTAAGTAGAAGGTTGCTTGCAGCAAATAATCCAAGTAGGTAGGGCTGGCTTTTCCAAACATAGGTTTCTTTGCATGCATTACATGTGGATGAAACTGTAATCATTGTCCCTGTGTGAGATACATCAGTAGTGGAATTTGGTGTGAAACAGAATTTGCAATTTTAGAAAAGAAGTAAAAGCTGTGATACAAATACAATCCCTTTTGGCTCTTGGCGTATGTCCTTTGGAGTACAATCTACCCTGCAATAGAAGGTCAAAATTAGTGCATAAATGTGGAGATCTATCCAATTGAAAGTTGCAAAGGCTCCAGTTAGAGTTCAATAAGATTTCAAATTTACAAAACATTTTTTATTTGGAACTGCTTCTGGAAATTTAACTGGCCCAGATTCCAATATGAATATGCAATTGGACATTTTTTATTATGATATATCATCCATCTACTCTAGTTGATTGATTAATAATAGCAGTACAACACTTATAGTAAACCCATTACTGGTGAGCAGTGGCCAGAGAGGCTTACCTGGTTGACTTAACTTCATCATTACCACCAAGGAAGTCATTATATTCCTGCTCAACATTCTCAGGTGTCCAACAAGTATCATTGTCATCTATATCACTAGTGGAATCAATACTACCCTCATGACAGTCATCTTTGTCATTATCACAATTGTCATAATTGTCATTCTTTTTATTGATGTTAATTTTATCACAGTCATCACCATTGTCGTTCTTTTCATTGATGTTAATTTCATTGATGTTAATTTCATTGATGTTAATTTCATTGATGTTGCTCGTCTGGGTTTCTGTAACATCAATATTTGATTCATTTCATGATAAATGTAAAGTGTAGTAGCTACAGTAATCATAGGCAGGTCTAGGGGTGGAATGTACAGGGGGTTGCACACGCACAAGAAATGAATTTACTATTGCACTAGTCAACATCTCCTAGTTTATCCCATTCTTTTAATGATTTATGACATGTCAGGGATAATTTTATGTGGTGAAGAAAGATGCACCCCACCTATTGAAAATATGTTTCACCCCCATTTTCAGATGAAGCTGGATTAACTAAATGAAGTGTCATTTTGATTAATTCATTAAAATTACTTACCCTTAGAAATCATAACTTTCTCTTTATGAATCAGTGAAAATTGTTGGGCCCATTTCTTTTGATTTCTTGCAAATTGTGCTGTCTTTCGGCTGAGACTATTTTTGACTTTGAACAGTTCCCTTTTTAATTCTCTTTTCTCTCTCTTCAATGGACTGCACTCGTCACATTTCTACAAATAAAATCATCTGGCATTTGACAAAGTAAAAACAATAAAGTACGGTGCACTAGGGTACATTGCCACTTAAAGGGTTAAAAAATTTTCATCATAAACTCTCACCAGTGAATGATGTGAATTTATAGTTAGCATATTAAGTGATATTAATATTTACTATTAACCTGAGCAGTCTGTTGAATATCCGCTTGAGAATCAAAGGAGGTAGACGACAAGGGAGTTACTATTAACTGACTTGGTGGTGGCTAAAAATTGACAAGAAAAGCAATTGTATCTTCCCAGTCAATTCTGGAAAAAAATGGATGAAAACCCATTACATGCAAATCTTACTTCGTCAGAAAGCTCTTGATCTTTTGGATCGATTTCTTTAGACGTTGAAGGCTCCGTTGCAGTATTGCTTGAAAGAACGTCTTTAAGAATCTATAAAGATCTTCACTCTTAGTATACAAATACGCTGTCATTAATATAGCAACATACCATTTGTGTAGGAGACTGCTATAAATAAATCATCATAAACTCTCACCAGTGAATGATGTGAATTTATAGTTAGCATATTTACTATTAACCTGAGCAGTCTGTTGAATATCCGCTTGAGAATCAAAGGAGGTAGACGTTGAAGGCTCCGTTGCAGTATTGCTTGAAAGAACGTCTTTAAGAATCTGTAAAGATCTTCACTTTTAGTATACAAATATGCTGTCATTATGCCGTGAGCAAAGCAAATGTCGAAAACAAATACTTTCATGCAGTATTCACAGAAGCGGAAGTGGGAAGATATTATTGGTTATGGTTACTTGAGCATGAAACTTGATTCCAAGTATATTGTATTATTAAGCACTTACCCTTCGATGACTTCGCTTTGATTCCGGGCTGTGTGTTAATTTCGGTTTCCAAATTGTGAGGTTAGCGTCTTCCCTTAGACGGCGTGGACTGCCATTTTCTCCTACGTAACGCCTTTCGAAGCAATCTTTGCTAAAGTGTGCTGAACATATAACGAAACGACCACTTGGGGAAAAGTTTTGTCGATGTGTCTTAACAAATGTAAGCCAAATTTTTCGTCTTTTATTATCCAAGGGACTTAAGTGTACAGATATTCCCTTTTTGCCGTTAGCCCGGTTACTGCAATTTTGTACAACGCAACGAGAAGGCGGCATTTCGCGATTATTTTCACATTACTTTAGTTAAAGATGAACGGGAAATATGGAAATCTACAAGCGACTATAGTATAGCTAAGCGAGCGAGGTTGAGTAGATGACGTCACAGGCAATTCGCATTATTTATCTGCCATTATTAATGGCGGCTGTGGGTTTCACGAAGCGACGATGTAAAATTGATAAAATTTATACACTTTGACAATTTGTTATGAAGTTTAGTGATAACTTTCGTTGCCCAGGTAAGATAAACTATCGATTTAGCAAAAAAAATCGTGAATGATGAAATGGATGATACTGCCCCTTTAAAGGTGATCTACAGTCCGATCTGCGCATGTGCACAAATGAGCCCACTTTTTATGATACAAACAGATTAACTATGTTTTGAGTTCTTGAAAAGCCTAATTGTTGTTTCTTGATCATTTATTATACTCTAGAAGCTTGAAAATATAAATAGTTGTGACAGTTGTCGAATGAAGCTCAATATTTTGGACACAAAAATGTAAACAAAGGCTTTGTTCCCATACGGACTGTAGATCACCTTTAAAAAACAATAACTTTCATCATTTGAACAGTTTGAAAATGTATTTGGAATAGGTTTAACTTAATTTTTAAGTTCCCTGTTTCAAGAAATAGAAAACATACGAGTCTTCTCATTTCATGGGAATATCCTGATCCTGCAATCACGGCTTCAAGTTTTGAATTGCAGAGTGGATCCTCTGTTTGGTTAAGCCATCGAATGATCATATTGTTTCTCAAGAACATTCCACTGTCAGCTTCGACGCAAACGTCCTCCAGAAGAATAGCTAACCATTACGCAGATGGTTCCCTCCTTAAATTGTGGCTGATGACGACGACGTCATCCCTGGGTACAGAACCCCAACCTGTGCTGCATGAATTGCCTCGATTACCGTTGGGTGCATTGACAGTCTGGCATTCTGACACAATGTCCTCCACTTCTCCCGAGGCGGTAACGGCGGCTGGTCTCATGCTCAAGGAATATTGAAGGGTTCCTGTAATCTTTTTCTTCTTTGAAGGAACGTTTTCTTGTCTCACATCCCTGCCGTATTCTCTTACAAATTCTCACATTGCTTCCTCGCGCCTTTTGTCATTGTCTTTCTCCCCACTTCCCGTACTCGCACACTTTGCTTTGTTGCACGGGAGGCCATGTTGGGCGGGTCGCTCTTGATAATTTTCTCACGGTAAAATAAATTGGGTCCAGTGAAATACGAACAAATATGAATACAACAAATATGCTTTTTTTCTAAATTAATAAAACAATGGATTCCAGAAGGACCTGGGCTCCGGATTCCTCAGTTATTTGGATTCCGGATTCAACTGTCTGGATTCCGGATTCAAGACTCCGGATTCCTAAACCAAAAAAAAGTCGGATTCCAGATTACATCACAAGGGGCGAATTAATATTTTTGCACAAATGATCGAATATAACAAACCCTACAAGTCGCAATTGATTGGTCAAATTTCATGTGACAAAAACGAAATTTTCAAAATGGCGGCTAGCTGTTTTGTGGAAGTTACGGATAAAGAAATAAGCGAAATTAAAATAAATTCAGTCCCAAAAACACAAAAGACATGTTTTAATCTTCGCACTTTCAGCCGATTATATTTTCAAAAATATATACTTTAACCATTTTAAATTTTAAAAATTCATTTGCTGACCTGTAAACAATTTGTGGGAGTTGTTTCATTGTGTTTCTAATCCTGTAAAGGATATAAAAAGTGAACAACTCGTTCGAAAAACGTCTGAAATTCAGTTTTTGAGCCGCCATTTTGTTTTTCTCTACTAGCAGGACATGAGCTAATATCCTGCTAGTAGAGAACCAATCAGATTGCAGAATACAGCATATCCAGATCTTGTGTATATAATAATCCCCGGCAATCACCTCGCCTTGGCGAATAATTGTTAAATGTTGTTCTGGTTGGCTTGTTGACGAGTTATTGTTATCATATTAAAATGAAACGTTTATCGGTCGTATGGACTTAAAGCAATCTTGTTTAATTTGATGGAGTAGATCTCATGACCGTTACTTCGAATCTTATTCATTGACGCTTTTGTCTGCTTCTTATCGAATAAGCAGATTTTATAATTGTCATGTCTTATCTTCTTCTTTGTCACCGACTTCTTTATCCCTTTATCCCTTTAGCTGTTTTCTTCTCCACCTGTTTGTTGTTTTCAGTGTATAGGATAGAGTACATCTTTGGCCTCAAACCAATGAACTCTTGGATTGGAAAACCATGTGTTTCGTCTTTCATTTTCCCGAGAACTTTCTTGTTTCTGATACTGTGAAGGGGATGGCCTTGTGTGTATTCGGATGTGTCGAATAGCCCTGCATCTTCCAGCATGTCTTGGTAGATGTCACGGGTCTTCACTTCATAACAGAGACTATCCGTATCGGTGAAAAGCAGCTTAGCGTTAACACCATACTTCTTTTTCATATATTCGTAATGAAACTGGTACATCAACACCTTTGAGAGATCCAGGATTGTCAAACGATGGACGAGCAGTTAGTTTTGTCAGCTTTGTCTTATCATTAACAACTCTTTCTCAACAACCGGTTTCGTATTACATTTCGATTCAATTTTTCTAATATAAATATCTCGGCGAGTATTTACCCCCCTTTTAAATAAATGCCACCATTGAAATCCTCACAATATAACCTTTCGAACGGGGGGTCAAGTGCCGTCAAAACATTACACAAACCGAAACAATCATATATTTATCCTCACGGCTTCGCCAAACATTCAAACGGGAAAAAGAGAAAAAGTTGAATATATTCCAAAATTTGGCGTCATTTTCTGAAAGGATATATGTGCAAAATACTCTTTGTATTCAAGCGCTTTAGTGTAGAAAGTTTCGTATGAATACGGCGAGTAGAAATATTTATTTTGAATTTTTCAAGGTATCGGGTTTTACTCGCACGCACTTGTATTACGTAACACTTGGCCAATAAGGAGCTCCCTTTAGCCGGGATGACGTCAAACTCACGCGTATGGGTGCACTTTGACCTGTAGAATCCATTTCTGGCATTTCCAGAGTCACGCGATACAAACTACGCATTGTTTTGACGGTTTTTCGTCGTATTTCCGGTTTGGGATTAACGCAAATTCGGGCAGAAATGCAAAATTCGGCAAGAAAACTCTCGTTTTAAAGATAGAAGCTTGAAAATAACACTATACGTGTTATTTTTAACTGCTTCATTGATCAAGAATACAAGAATGAGCATACGTCTCAAGGGGCCGAAGTTATGTTCGGCGAAAGGTATGTCTATGTTTATAATTTGTTAGTAATATTGCGTAATTTGATCATATATAAGCCCGTTTGACTTTCAAAGCTTATAAATCGCTACAATGTAGCCAGTGACTAAAACTATCGTTATAAATTAGTATATATTTTTATACTGAATCGAATGGTCGTATTTTCATCGACATAGCGTGTACTGAACCGAAGATATAAACGAAATATCCGTAGAACGTGCACGTTCTACGCGTAATGGCCCCTTAATTTTGTGCCCGAGCCATTTTTAATTTGTTGGAAAAGACACCCCCCCTGGTTCACAAAATTTTAGAAAGTTTTTTCATTATTCTACATTATAAGTACCCAAAGAAGCTATATATATATATATATATATATATATATATATATATATATATATATATATATATATATATATATATATATATATATATATATATATATATCACGCTTCTAGGCAAAGTCTTTGACCATAGCGATTGTTTGTGGTAATTACTTTAGAGTTTTCCCACGCAATCTCGTGTTTGGTGTAACATACATGTTCGGCTAAAGCTGATTTTCCCTTGTCTAAAGTTGAAACAGCCTTTTGATGTTCTTTTAGCCGTGTACCAAACTGGCGTTTAGACTGACCCAAATACTCTTTCTCGCAGCAACCGCATGGTATAGAATATATACAGCTTGAGTTTTCTGATTTGTTTTAAAAGGATCTTTAAATATGGCCTGAATAAGTGAATAAGTTCTAAATATTTTAGGAGAAAACGATTACCCGAAACGTTTTCTTAATGATTGCCTGAGATCACCTGTTTGTAGGAACCAAAATAACTCCGAGGGTGATACCTCTGTTAAGGGTTATGCAACAGTTCCATACATTCAAGGTGTCACCGAACCAATCAAGAGAATCTTAAGTAATTGTAATATTAAGGTTGCCTTAAAACCCTATTTGACTTTAGACCATATTTTCGCAAAGCCAAAAGATCCTGTTAAGACAAATCAGAAAACTCATGCTGTATATTCTATACCATGCGGTGACTGCGAGAAAGAGTATTTGGGTCAGTCTAAACGCCAGTTTGGTACACGGCTAAAAGAACATCAAAAGGCT